GCTCTTCCGATCTATTGTTGTTGTATATAGAAATGTCGTATAGATACATATCCTGCATGCAGTAATTATATCTCATTGTAAGGAGTATGTATAGTGGGAATACCGGGCAGGCTAGTTGCTAGTGGCTAGCACAAATTATTCATGACTTTTTCAAATAACTCAATTTTTCTTCTATCTATGTTCGGTATTTTCTCGACAATAATATACGTACAGGCATGTTTAGTCAATATAATTTCGGACATAATGGAAGTATACGTAAATCGCAAAATATATGCAAAATACCCAAAAAAATATAGATAAGAATATATCATATTAGATTAAAGGAGTCATGTTATATGATTTGTGTTCCCCTGGTTGATTATTTGTTCCCCTCCAGACCTGATAATTTTTGTACAACTTTTGAACAACTTGTCTGAACAATTTTTTTAAAAAATGTCATGTTTTTGAGATAAAAATTTGTAAAACTTTATTTTACACACCTAGTACACATGGCAACACACACACACACACACACACACACCGTATACATATGCAAGATGTTCATAATAAGTGGTCATCCCTTTTTATTTCGTAAACAGAGCTATCTAACAAATCAAATATCAAGTTAAATGTAATTAAATGGTTCGAACCTTTACTGTAAGCATAGTGCTAACTTGTTAGAAAATTTATGCATGTAGAGAACGGAGAGATATGCTTAACTTTTGCAGGGTAAAATAAATATTTTGATACGTTAAAGTTGTAGCGTTTATTTATCAATGTATGATGTAACAAAATTATTTTACAAATCATACAAGTTTTTTTGGTTTAAAGTTTTGCGGGTGATTATTACCTTTTCAGTTACGGCTGTGCGGTGCTGCAAACGCATTCCGACTTTAGCATTGGCGGTTGACATGTAATTTGTTATAGTTATCTAATCATACATTCGGTGTACATAAAATAAAAATAATAAATAAACAAAAATTTGAAAATCTATAAAATTAAAAAAAACATTTAACATTTTATTGATATGACATAAATAATTCTCACATATTATACGCTTCTTATAAAGCAATAATTTATTTATCTGATAAATACACTTCTCAACAAAATTAAAGCATCACTTACTCTACCCTCCAAAAATAGGCAAAATTCAAAAGAGTGTAACTTCGTCAAAAATAATTGTATCGAGATGTTCAAAAAAGCATTTTACAGCT